AAAAATCCCAGTCCTTCTCCCTTGTTCCAGCTTTCTAGCAGACTTGATGTTATTTGTGTTATTTGGTCCCTTGCCTTTGGTTTCTCTTCATCTTTGTTATCCCCAGATTTTACAGGAGTCAGAGACTGCTATTAATGACAAAACAGAAGATTAAATCAGCAATTCTGGATTCAATTCATGGATGTAAAGCACATGTACAGTAAACCATACATAAGGATATTAGATGTGTTTAGGATATCGTCTGCACCAACAAAATTATATATATATATATATATACATATACATACATACACACACTATAAAATACTAACCTTTGCTTGACGCTCCTTCTTATCCCACCACTCATCAAATGCCCGGAATGCCACCACTTCAACCATTTTTCGGTTCAAATCTCTTTTCATGATAGCTTTAAGTTCTTTAACAATGACTTGCAGCACTCCATCCACTGTGGCCTTGTGTGGATCCTCCTTCTTGTGTTCGTAGCCTGGTGGTGGCACAGAAGGATCGAATTTTGGAAAGGGCGGCCAAGGCTGACCTCGTCCAAGGTAAGAGGACATGGCAACAGGGCGATATGGATGCTGGTTACCAAATTGCATGGAATTCCCCATGAAGTGGTGGTAAGGGTAAAGGTTTTGTCCTTGCATCATGCGGCTGAGCATCTGAGTCTGCATCTGAAAGGACATAGGCATTCCTCCCCACTGATTACCAAGGGCACTCATCATGTCACCTTGCATTGTGGGGAACATGCCTTGATGGTGATAAGGTGGAGGGTGCAACATATGCGGTGGGGGTACTCCGGGTGGAGCAGGTAATGGTGGAGGGGGTACTGTAACTGAAGGATGAGTTGGTGGAGGAGGTGGGGGAAGAGGTGGTGGCATGGGGAATCCAGGCTGTGGGGGAGGAGGAGGAGGTGGTGGTGGTAGTGGAGGAAATCCAGGAGGTAGGATAGAAATGACTGAGGTCATAACGCCAGAATTGGTGACAGCTGAATTCACAACAATGGATTTGGCACATTCTTCAGTAGTGATAGGGGAGGTGTTCATTTCATCATCTGAAATCTCCATGTCCTCTCCTGAAGAAGGATGACCCTGTATAAACAGAGAGACCACGATGAGTGAAATGTTTTTAGAAAGAGGATATACATTTTTTTTTTTTTTAAACCCAGATCTGTTAACAAAATTAATACTTCTGTCAAATTCAGTACACTTAAATGGAATCTTCATTCATTGTAAAAGTCTTACATTTTATTTAAAAAAACAAGTTCCATGCACTGGGAATCTTGGCAGAATCCAGTGTATGCTGTCCCACAGGGAAATGAGAGACATAGATCATTAATAATCATGCATGAAATGTATAGGTCACTGTGGGAGTTATAATCCTCCAGTTTTTACAGGTCATGCTGGTCTTGGTTAGCTTGGAGAGCTTATCCTCTCATTGATTTTATTTTAGCATCCATTCAGCAAAAGGTTGCCGGCTCACATAAGGGTAGATACTATAGGGAGAATCTACAGATCTGTATAGTCATGAAAATATGACATAAAAACAAACTTACAACCTAGAAAGCTTATTTAAAGTATATGTTCCCGTTATAACAACATCTCTATTGAAGGTACACTACAGTATCCTTCAAGTCAACAATGAAATTATGTAATCTGTGTGACCTTTAGCACCTGGCCTGCAACTCCACTAAAACTAATAATTCAGAAGTGCTTGTGCTGCAATGAAGCACATTGTGCTGCTGATAGCAACACTGAAATGATGTTGTGTTTAAGAAAATAAAGATTGTTCCTATTACAAACATGAAGACACGCCAACACAATGTGCTGCAATATTTGAGGCCTGGTTCACGCCTAGGCGTTTTGAGTGTTTCTGGAGGGATTTTTTCTTCTGCGTGATTTTGCACATTTTTGCTTTTAAAAACGTGCCTTTCTCCCAGCATAGAGATGTCTATGGGACCAAAACAGTGCGTCATCCGCCTGAAAATAGCTCCTGCATCTTTTCGCACAACAGGTGCTTTCCTACACACGATGCAACGCTAAGGTGTGAACAGTCACCATTGACTTGCATGACAATTTGTGTTTTGCGCTTTCTCGCACGAATAGATCGGCGTGGAAAAATGCTCAGATGTGAACCAGGCCTACGGGTATATTTATAAACAATTTGCAGAGCCATTCCCCCTGAGAATCTCTGTGGATGTTCGCTCTGTCTAAATAGAGACAAAACAAATGTTGTATATTTTCTATTCAGGTCGAATGTAACATTCAGAAAATACAGCATTATGGCTACTAGATGGAGCAACAAAAAGAAAACATTTTCTAGTTTGCCCAGTGGTCAGTTTTAAAAAACAGGCAATGTTACAGTAGAGAATAAAATAACTAGTCTAAGTATGTTGTAAAAAATAGCATTCTTACAATGCATTATATCGTAAATGGAATCACCGATTGTGGAAAGGAGAAGTAGGGAATATGAGGCATGCTTAAAATACTTAGGTTCCATTCACAGCTCTGTGATGCGGGAGTGCATGCATTGCCGACATGATCCCGCATTGCACGCTGCATTGTTAGGTACGCTGCAGTGCCATTATTTCTTATTAGCACCCCAATGCACCTAGCCATCGCCTGTGGGCTGTATCGCACCACACTGCAAGGTAACCCGTTATCATTTGATATAATTTAAGAAACAAAAAAGTGCATGCACCACCATTTAGCTGTGGTAGGCATTCCATTTGAATAAATAGGCTGCCTTTCCCCTGGGGCACTACAATGCACCCCCCTGCTTCATCCCTGTGATGCCATGAACGCAAAAGGTAAGAACAAAGGCTTAGATCTTTTTTTTTCTAGGGAGTACCCCTCATATCCCCGGGCTGCATGTGGCTTTTAAAAGGAGAACTATGAGGCGAGTGAAAATCACTCACCTCATAGTTCTAGTGAACCTGTGACAATTAAACTGTCACAGGTCGGCTCATTAGATCGGGAAGTGAGCGAACACATACCGTTGCTCGCCCACTTCTCGATCTATCTCTGCAGAAGAGAGCCGCGACTGTCACTCACGGCTCCATGCAGGGTTTCCCCCCCCCCCCCCCCCTGTCCGATCCTCCAGCGCTGACTGGCGGAACGGACGGGGCGGTTACAGCTGGCTCTGCCCCAAATAGGCAGAGCCAGCTGTCAATCACGCAGCCGGGTGGCTCTCGACAGTAAAGTCGGGATCCGTCCCAGCTGCGCCGTCTCAGTATACCGCGAGCTGGAGCTTTGGGTGATGGGAGGATGCTAGTTTGTGTCCTCCCATTACCCTTAGGAGAACTATGGGGAAAAGCCCTAACCCCATAGTTCTCCTTTAAACCTATGTAGCTCCCTTAATATTTATTAATCACACTCCCTCCATGCGTCTTTGTAAGTTTTCACTTAACCGTCCAACATAAAAGTAAACATCTCAAGGAAATATGGGGGCGGTGCATCTGTTCTTTCTCTCCTCCCTGTTGGGCGCTGCTCTGTGTCCCAGCTGGGAGGAGAGATACGGTCAGCCAAGCACTGCGGGAGGAGAGCACTGTGAGCGGCCAGCTTCTCTCCTCCCCGAACCGCTCAACCTCCTGTCACAGAACGGCAGAGCGGTGTGTGGGCAGAGACAACTCGCGCTGTCACAGGAGGCTCAGCTCCGCTCGCTCATCCTCCTGTGACAGCGTGTCAGAAAGGAGAGTGAGAGTATGTTTACTATATTCTCAATTATGAATGAATGGGAAGTGCTCTACATCACTTTCTGTTCATTCATGATTGTGGTTATAGTAACCATAGTCTGTCCTCATATTATGAATGAACAGGAACACTCAGTATAGGGGATTCCTGTTAATTTATAACAGGGGATGCAGAAAAAGAGATGCTTTTTCTATTTAAAAAAGGGAAATATCAGGGGTCTGTTTAGCCCCAATATATACTCCAAATATTTCCCCCAAAGCCCCTAAAAGTAAAATAAAAAAATACAAATATTGAATAAAAATAAAATATAAAAAATTTAAAAGTTTATAAAAAAATTAAAATAAAATATAACATTTTTTGAAAAAGTTAAAATAAAAAACCTTTTCAGTTTCGGCCTGACTTTTTTCATTTCGGTTTCGTTGTTGAAATTTTCATTTCGGTGCACCTCTACTGCTGACCTTCTAAAAATGCTAGCTGTCTGGCTGTTATGCTGATCACCTGGCTTTATTACTTTAAGAGACACTGACCAAGAACAAGCATGTAAAGTCAAAAGACCCCATCTGCTTTCTTGCTCTTATGTGTAAGTGACTCAAAGTAACGAAACAAGAAAGAGAGCCCAGCAACCAGCATTTGTAGAATGAGAAATCAGTGATGGCAAACTCCATGTTTCCAAGTTTCCCTTAAGAGCCTACAATTTACATAATGAGAACACATTAACATGCAGGGTGAATAATAATTTGGGTGATAGATTTTCACAGTATTCCTCTGTTTCATTTAAGAAGGGGGGTGGGGGAAGTCATCTTCCATAGGATTCCAAAACAGTGAAGTGGAACTGTACCTACATTTCTCAGAGCAGGTGCAAAGCTGAAAATAAGAAATAGAAATTGATGACATCACCTGTTATTCATTCCCTGAAATCTAACGTTTCACCATAGACTTCTGTTACCAGAGAGCAGCTGGTCTCTTTTATCCTCAGTCAACAGAGACACACAAAAGCATTGTACCCTTGCTGTAATTGCACAAAGCAGGGAAGCTGTGAAACAACCTGTGAATATACAGCGACAGCAACAACTATTTCACGCTGTGTAAAATAATCCATATTAAAAGATCCAATTGTACATTTTATAAAAACGAGAGAAAGGGATAACTTTACTGTTGCCTACAGCAACCAGATATTGGCTTTCTTCTTACCAATGGCTCCCACCAGTTCAGTAGGCAGCTCCTGATCATGTGATCACTGAGACTGACTGTGTACTGGCTGTTATAGTGATCACATGATTGGGTGCCCGTCCCACTGGCTCCAGATTTTAAACAGCGGGAACTGTTGGTGACAGTGCACTTACAGTGCTGGAGACACCAACTTAGCGAACGCCGAGCAAAATACAGCAGTACTAGTTGCACACACATGTGGCAGCACAACGTTACAGCAAGCCAACATACTAGTTTTCTATAGGTAACTCCTGGCAGGTTGTCATTGCTGGCTGGTTCTATAATGGGTAGCTTCACCCTCTCTCTTTGTCTTGGTGTACATGGTCACTGACACAAGAATGACAGAAAACCCACAAAGATCAAGACCTTCTAATGGGGCACCTGTTACAGTAACAACGGTAGACTACCCCTTACATTGTATAGATTTACACCGACTTCCTGTTGTATCTCCAGGATAGGAAGTAAAGGGAAATATCCTTAACAAGACAGCAAATACAAACTGAAAAGTGTTTATGTTTTCAAAAAACATCAAAGGACATCACAAAAATATAGAAGCAAATAAGAAATACTGTATTGCAATCCCTGCCTCGGCCCAAAAAAAAGATCCCCCACTGGGTAAGTCCCAAAACCCTGGAAGGTACTCCTAAAACAGGTCAAAAAGTAATCATCATTTTTTTCTTCATTGTTTATGTCACGGATTTTGTAATAACTGAAAGTTATAGATCGTTTATGCAGTGTAAATAAATACATCCTCTAGGCAACTAGAGAAGGTTGGAGTCTGGAGACAAAATGATGTCCACAGTTGGATGATGTAGATTAATTATTGTTCTAAGTGTCAGGGGAAGCTTGATAAGGGTTTCTGTAGTATAGTAAGGCCTCATGCACATGGGAATCCCAGGTGTGTCTGTACAGCTAATCATTCCATGTACGATTATATGGGGACAGCCACAGATAGATGCAGCCACTGTGCCTGTTCAAGTGAATGACAGGCTGACAGCAGCTGCATCTGTCTGTGGCTGTCCCCATATAATCGTACATGGAACGATTACCTGCAGATTGTGACAGATACTTGTCCATGGATGCAAACAGATTGAGTCATTGACACAGAACAAGTATGCAAAAAGTCAATATGAACTCTTCCTACTTGAAGCCTGAGAATCAGCATGATAGCCAGACATCTAGCATTTGAAAAGTGGGTCTTACAAAATATTTTCTTTAGAGTCAGGGTAAAACTGACCGCACGTTATAATCGGAATATGCCAAATTACAAGCTTGCTGTACGGTTTTAAAATGAACTGCAGACACTGCATAAAATGAGTCTTAAGATGACCATACTTATAACAATCCTATTGTACAATCACCTTTAGAGCTACATATGAAGTAGTATGCATGTGGCCAGGGGCGTATTTACCGTGAGGCAAACAAGGCGTTTGCCTGGAGCGACACTTTGCAGGGGACCTGCATTTTTCGCCCCCCATGCAAAGAGGAAAGCTGGGGACGAACAAGGCGCCGGGCGCACAAGATCAAGCAGCGTCGGCTGCCTTAACAGGTGGCTGCTAACGGGGCCTGGCAGTGAGCTGGCGGGTGTATGAGGAGGCGTGGCCGGGGCCGAGGGAGAAGCGGCCTGGCCGTCGGAGGCTGCGGTGCCGCTCCAAGAAGATTCGGCGGCTGCAGAAAGACGCGGACCTGGGCCGGTGGAGGCTGCAGATGGGATGGCGGCTCCAAGAAGCAACGCGGCTGCAGATGGGATGGGACCAAGATAGACACGGCCCCGGTCGGCGGAAGCTGCGGGCGGCTCAAGTAAGATGCAGGCTGGAAGCAAGATGCAGAATGGAAGCAGGCTGGGGAGCTGCAGGTAAGAAGAGCAGCATGTGTGCAGGGAAAGGGACCCTCCACAGCCCATAATAGATCATGCACAGCCCACCTTAAAGTCTCTGTGCAAGGTCTATGGTGGGCTCTGGGGGGTCTCTGGTGGGGTTTGCAGGAACTCAGATGGGCACTGCAAGGTCTATGGTGGTCTCAGCCTGACATCCTGCAGTGCCCACCAGAGATCCTTTACAGCCCACTTGAGACCCCGGCTTCCCTGCAACACTAAGGCCTCATTCACACTGCTTAAGGCTGTGGCGCGCTGCCTTCGCGAGCAGTGTGTCATGTAATTTTCTCCTCGGCACCTCAGCTTGCAAGAGCTCGCGTAGCTGAGCGTGCCGAGATGAAATATTTCATCTTCAGCCAATCGGCTCGTGCTTATAAACCGGCGTGTTGCGATGCGATGTCTGGCTGGTTGTTATGCAGGAGCCGACTGGCTGAAGGTGCAGTCAATCATGTGCCTGCACTCAGCTCACACACAGCACGCAAAGCTCCGTGCCGGACAGCTTTCAGAGTTGGCCCATAAACATCCGTACTGGTGCGGGTGTCCATGCTCGGACGCAGATAGGATCCATCCTGTCTGTGTACGAGTACGGACATCCACACGGACGTGCTGTTCAGGTGAGCGTACAGCTGAGTCCTCCCATAGAGAAGAACAGGCTGCTGCGTACAAATCACACGTAGCACCTGTCCTTCCCGGGTGCACGTCCCACGGATCTGTATGAGCCGACTCTTAGCAGTGTGAATAAGGCCTAAAAGCGCAATCTGTCAGACACTGTATCCAGCGACTTTAAAGAATACGCAAAATGTCTTGTTAGATGGGGGGGGGTGCCGAGTTTCGTTTTGCCTAGGGCAGCACGAAACCTAAATACACCACTGCATGTAGCCCTGCAAGTAAACACTAACGTGCACTACCTGGCACTAAAACATTACAACTTTGGTTCTTTACCTTAGCAAGACCATGGCCCGGTACATTCTTCCAGGTGCAGGTGCAATTTTTGGTGCACTGTGTTACATTGACAGCCTATTTAAATGAATGGGCTGGCTTAACACAACAAACATTAACGTGCAACATACGGTAATACACATCGGCCTGTGTTGAACACACTGAAAAGGGATCACCCTGGTGTGAATGAAGCCTTAATGTTTCTAAGGTTTGGAAAGCAGGTCTAAATATAAAATGAGGTGGAAAGGCAAACACGTAGTACTGGCTGCCAGTGCCAAGCAGGAAGAAGGAATGCCAGAGAAAGCTGGAGTTGTTTTTACAAAGTGCTTTTCCACCATATTCAGTCCTGCTTTCAAAAGTTTAGAAACTTTCAGCATTTGCAGCTGGAGTGATCCCCTCCTCTCCCTGGCTAAAACTCTCAGGGCTTAACTCCAGTCCTGGCTGCTGCGACTGTGGCTGCGTGTCTGCCACCCGAGTCTCACCCGGCGGAGAGGCTGCACTGGGTGCCAGTGTCTGTTCTGCGTCCTCTCCCTGGATCCTTGGATGGTAGAACCTCAACTGTAAGCAAAATTTGGCATCATATGATCAGAAATCTACCCCACTCCTCGTGCTGGACCAAGACACTAAAAAATGTCTCTGAATCCAACAGCTGCTGGGCTGTGTGGTTTGCACCTCTGACAGGAGCCATGCCCTAGCAACTAGAGAACCACTGCACTAAAACATACATAGTTGAAGTTACAGAAAGGGAAACTGACATGAGATATATGATTGCAACATAAATTAAATAGATTTAAAAAGTACATATATTATTTTTCAAGGCAAAATTATTAGGAAATGGTAATCCAGGGTTGCTCTGTCTGTGTACAGAATGGCCTCAGAAGCTTCATTCCCATGTGATTAGCTCACCAATTCACCTGCTTAGGGCTTGTTTCAGGCATCCCCAGCACTGTCCTGGGTTTTGGCAGTCATCTACAGTCAGATCCTAGCCAAAGTACTGTGTTTTTGGAGGGATGCTGTTTTTTTTTTTTTTTTTTTTTTACATTTCCATATTCTAGGTTTAAATACTACAGCAATTCTATCCTACTAGGGTGAACTCCTACACCCCATAAAAGCAAGTTAGAAGCCATTCTTTTGTTAAAGAATGCTGCAATTCACTTGTTTCTGAGCCAACATGTACGCAATCCCTTATAAATGGTTCTTTCCAAAGTAGGTGGGGGCTGAATATACCTTATTTACTCAAGACTTATAGACCTATTGAACTATTGGCTATAGCAAGTCAAGCCATGAAATACAGAAGTAACAATAGACATGGACAAAAGTGGTAAGAAAAATGAAAGTAAGGCAAAAGCCCACAGATAACTATTGTAGTTGCTGGCAGATTCCATAGCAATAATAATAATAGGTGAACATCGAGAATTTAAACTGATGTTTATTGGATATCAAAAATGACTACAAATCACAGAACAGCCAAATGCATGTATGGAAAATCCCTCCAGTTGAGGAATATGGCCATCCATTGGTTTAGAATAGGTAAAACTTGCTAGAACGGCTATGCACACTTGGTAAAGCAGTTTGACATTTGTTTTCAGTTAACAATCCAATAGACACTTTTAGATGTTCACTGAAAAAACTGTAAATGCATTTATTAGGAAGAGCAATTTTTACATAATTCATCTAAGAGTATATTAATCAAGTGCATAATTATTGACCAAATCTTTTTTATATACTTCAGGTTGATTCCTGAGCAGCTTACCTCATCCATCTTTTCCGATGTAGGGGTTTCATCACCTGCCATGTGTTCCTTCAATTCTGTACTATCCACTTTCCTGCAAGATTGACTCAGTTGTTCAATGGGAGTTGTTGACCTTGAGTTCTGGCAGAGAGATGCAGTGCCGGGTATTGGCTCATCATCATCAGAATCCGGCAGTGGGGTTGGGCTTATATCCTCTAAGCCAGTGCTGGAAGGTCTAGAGGAAGGTGTAACATCCTGATACTGAGAGTTTGAACTATAAGGAGGGATTGGTGAAAGTTGAGAAGAAGAGGATGATATAGGACTTCCTTGCATCATCACTTCATTGTCCGAGTTTGGTTCATTTAGGAAACGTAAATTCGTTCTTTGCTCTTTTAAAAGCATTTCGATTCTGGAGTCTAAACTATCGTGCTTCATTTCTGACTCCAAAGTAGGTGTTCCAGGAGAGTTCCGACTCTCAGGGGTCCGAGCACGGGATGCAGGTTTATGCTCTATGAGGCACTCAGGCTCTGGTGGCGGAGGCTCTTCTGGTTTCTCCTTAACTGGTACAAAGTCAATATTTATAGAGCTACACATGCCATCAGAAAAAGGCTCTAGTGGCAGTGGTGGAGCTGTTCTCCTGTAATCAACTTCTCGTGATGTCTGAGGAAAAGAAGTCTCATCATGATGGGAGAAAACTGAAGATGCCTGGTATGGGGAAAAGGCTGACTTACTAAAGTTCAAACCAGATTGACTCAAGGGCGGTGTATGTGAAAACTGTGGAGTCTCTGGTTGAGATCTGGTAGCATTAAAAGTCTGCTCAGATCCTCTATAAACATTGGAGCCGTGTACGTAGTGATGCCCAGGCCTCCGGTTGTAAGCGTCCGTAAACTTTGTTTCTTGTCTCCTTGGTTTAAAGTCTTGCCCGAAATGAAAAGCTGGTGTTGTTTGCCGACTTGAATAGCTGGAGTCTTGAGAAAAAGGTGTTCCCAGACGTGGGGTGTGAGGGGTTCCTTGTGACTGGGGGGTAAACTGGCTGAAAGAGTTTGGGGTGTCTTGTCGACAGCTTGAATAAGCTGTATCATGTGAAAATGGGGTACTGCTGTTTGGGGTAACTGATGCACTGACACCAGTCTCTTTAGTACGTTTCACAAGTTCATTAACCTTAAAATAAATAAATAAAATTAAAAAAAAAAGCACAAAATCCATCGTTATTTTGACAAAAACAAAAACCTATACATAGTTTACAATTGAAAAACACTTGTAAAAACATTCACTAATCAAACCAGTAGGGTTTTCTAAACCCTTATTTGTTTCATAGAGCAAACCCAGTGAGCTCTTTATAGACTGTAGTTTCTAGGTACAGCCATCATTGTCATTTAAACTTTTCATGTCCCAAATCTATATAGTTTTTGTTGCACAACAGTTGACACGAGTTTACAGTAAAAAGCCCACATGGCAATATCCTAATTCACTGATGCCCACAAAGAAGTCCTTTATGATCCAAACTTGAATTCAGGAATGCCAGCAGCTCTGAAAGAATTCATAACTGGAACCACTTGTTGTCAATGAAAACTGTAATTCAGCACTAAGGACCGGTTCAAAACACAAACAGTGCGTTCCTCTGGAACGCACTGTATCGCAACCCGGCCGGCAGTTCAGGGGTGGGAGGGAGCATGGCAGTGCATTGAAGTCAATGGCACCGCAGCCACGCCCCCCGCACGCGTGGCACATTGGTGCCTGCGTTCTGGTCCAATGCAATCTGAAAAAATGCTGCAAGCACTATTTGTGCAGGTTGCCCTGGAGCGGAACGCATGCACCAATGTGCCACACATTCGGGCGTTCGCACTGCGGATGGGGGCGTGGCTGCGGTTCCATTGACTTCAATGCACTGCCACGCCCCCTTCAACCTCTGAAGCCATCAGCTGATGGGCTTGCTGAACTGCTAAAACAGTGTTGCTCAACCTTTTTTCAGTCATGGTGCCCTTTAAGAGAATACAAAATCTCGAGGTACCCCAGTATAAATTAAAAAACGCGTGGTCAGTATAAAATCCATACCAGACCCTTATAGAGGTCTGGTATGGATTTTAAGAGGGGACCCCATGCAAAAAAGACCACCTCACATCAGGAGCCCTCCTTCACATCAGAAAACCCACTTCTGTGACATTTGAGTCACCCCTTCTGATACTAGGAGCCCCTCCCTTCACATCAGCATCCTCCTCTTTTTACACACCTAAAGAAGCCAGGAGATACCCTAGTTCAGAAAGGCTGTGCTATAGAGTGCTCTGTAAGAGTGCTTAGTAGCAGGGTAGCAGAAAACAAAGCACAGTGTTTAAAAGGAGAAGTGACCTGATGTCATTGACACTTCCAGCATTCATGTTTAGGAGCAGAGCTGTTTTAGCTCTGCCCTACCTACACCTAGAGCAACAGATCGCTGCAATAGTAGGGATGCATGGCTTGTAGATAAGTACAAACAATAGATCACCATTATAGATGATCTGTTGTAGAGCCAAAAGAAATATCACCGCTCCAATTCCTTAGCCGCCATCAGGACTCCCCAGGTGCTGGTCTAATAGGTGCGTCTCTACCTTTCAATGTAGTAGTATACAAATAGACCGCACTATCCAGAGTATTTCAATACTTCAGAATTTATTGAAATTCACAGCAAATCTAGTGTAACAGTGTATGTAACAGCAAATACCAGCATCGCAAACCCCCAACCAGCTACAACCTCTCACATGTTTCACCAGTAGCCTTATTCATAGAGGGCACCTGCTGTTACATACACTGTTACACTAGATTTGCTGTGAATTTCAATAAAGTCTAAAGTATTGAAATACTCTGGATAGTGCGGCCTGTTCGTACACTACTATAGATGATCTGTTGCTGCCGGGATCTCTAAACTGATCCAGATCCCCCACATCTGCATTTTGAAACACATGTTTTAACATATTTGTTTTTAATATGAAGCTCGAGTGTGCCTGTACTGTAATGAATGACGAAAAAGGTGCATGCAAGCAAACAAAATAAGAAATCCTGTTTACCTGTGGAGTTTCATTCACAGTGGGTGAAGCATCCAAGTCAACACTAACTGGAAGAGTCTGAGGTGTGTACAGACCGTTAACTAACAGTTCATAGAACCGCATCCGTGTCTCACCTGTAAACAAGAATATAATAAACAAGGTATAATTATCCATAAGGGAAAGGGAAAAAAAGATTATTAAAAGTAAATCTGACCGGCCCTAAAAAGTGCCTAAATGGTAACAGTAGTGCTGAAATTCAAGTGGTGTTACCCGCAACCTGTGTTATTTAAATCAACCCCTCTGTAAATCCCAGGCCCAGGTAGTTTTGTTATAATATACTGAAAATGATCCTGGGATTTCTGGTGATCTTTCACAAATTCTCAAAAATAATAAAAGCTGAAATATTTGAACATTCTGCAACTATTTTGCATTTGTGATGCCAAAGTTCAGCTTTTTAGGTGACAGAGCTGTGTAGATTGAAAACTTCACTCCTTTAACACGATACCCTGTCCCTTTTCCCCACTGTGTCATGAAAGGTGCAAATAATTGTACATCAACTTCACACAATAGTAGGATGTGCTTACAGGAGGGAGGAGGATTGCCATTATATAAACGTGCCAGTTTATGGGGTTGTTATAAATGCAGAAAACACGGGCAAGTAAAAAAGTTTCTGTGGAAGGTTCACAAAAGAACCTTTGTAAATAAATGTTGTAAATGTGCAAGAAGATATTAGCACGCAGTCAGTTAAGTAAAGCTCCAAATCAACTTAATACAAATCAAAGATTACAGCAAATGTCAACACAGATTATTTGATTCTGTTCCATAAAATTTGAATTAAAAGGAAACCTGTAACAAGGAGTAGAGTGGCTTCCACTGTTGCCATCCGTTTTGTAAAAATTAGGGATGCACCGATACTTTGAGTACCAATGCCGATACTTGGCATTTTCACGAGAACCACCAGGGTTGCAGCAGTTGCAGCTGGGAACTGGACCATGGTTCTGGAGCACCACTACTGTCCTGAAATCATTAGTCGATATTGTTTTAGAGAAACTGTCACATGACAATAAACAAAAATGTATCAGTACTTGTAAGTACTTGGGCAAGTATCAGTACTTGTACCCGCAAAACTGGTATCGGTGCATCCCTTTATTTATATTTATAAAAACAAAATCATATATTAAAGCAGAGATGTACAAATCTCAGGAGTTTCGTGCGCTCCTTACAAATGACAGCTGCCTCCTAATGTTTGAAAAGTAAAAATACTAGTGGCCTGACTGTCATGTGAATTCAATGTTTTCTGATGCATTGACCTAGAACAAATGTGCAGATCCTGACATCACTTTCTAATCGGTATGCTCGTTCCTGGTCAATGACTTGGAAAGTACTGAAGCCAGAAACAGGTGGGCAGCTAGCATTCTCACCAATGGCAGCCCCTGTATTTCTCTCAGTACAAATTTCTTTTAAAAACACAGCTCCTGGACGAAAATAATACTGACACTTAACCTATTTTCTGTCTCCTCTCTTACTAACTTGTCCCTTGCCTGTATTTTAGGCTAAGAGAATCTTCCACACTGGACTTGCATAGTCAATTAGCTATAACAAGAGCTCTATTTGCAGCATGCAGAACGGTGGTTCTCAAGTGGATCTCTAAAAGGTGCCCATACACTGCTCGATTCTCGTACGAGAATCGCGGGAAATCCCACGATCGTACGAGAATCGAGCAGTGTGAATGAAGACGTGCGACCGTTTCTACTGTACGGTCGCACGTCTTTTGTCTAAGGAGCACGCTAGAAAACCGTACGATTTTTGGCTGGTTTGAACGGGTTTTCGGGAGACAAATGCCGAACGGGCCGGTGTGCGCACGCGCACACTGCCCTTCACCATTGCGGTTGTCGGAAGCCCGCCCTTCAGGGGGCGGGCTTGCGATGATCGAGAGTACGATCTGCCTGTCCAAGATGGGCAGATCGTACGTTTTTTTTTAATTACTTTACAACCATCGCAAGACTAAGGTCTTGCGATGGTTGTAAAGTGTATGGCCACCTTAACACTCCTCCATCGACTGATGCATGGATGTCGGCGTTAGACAGGATCATTGCATTAAAAAAAATTACATACCAAATTACAGGGGTCGTGAATAAACTCTACCCTATGCTCCTGGTGGCTGGACATCTGTGCTTCCCACTCGGCTAGTCCCCCACTACCATCCCCCATAAAAACTAATGTCTTAAACTCAATGGAGGCAAGAAGAGCCATGTATTGCCTTGTCCTGTCTCTCTCTATTGCTCTCATTTTTGGGTAATCTCGGTTTAATGACCTTGCTGGTTTGCCTTCCCCTGCGTGGTTGGGTTATCTATGAATTCTCCTAATCCTTTCTTCAATTGTACTCATCTCTGAAACTACCAACAGCTGTAAAGTATACTGCTCACAATACTTGTTCATATGTTTACTCTGTAATGATTAACACTCCCGAGTGGTAGAAGAGAGTCCGTCTCCTTTTTCATGTACTCCCAATGTGATGGCTTTTTGTACTTTTGTAGTTCAAGATTATAGGATTTATTATATAGATGTGTGACTTACAAAATGAACAATAATAATAATCATCATTTAAAAAAAAAAAATCAAATTTAACAAAAACACACATTTGCTGAAATCTATCTAAATCAGTGCCATGTGAAGACAGATCACATGATTATAGTAAAGTCTTAGTATCTTTTTAGCCTTCATTTAGGTGTGCAGTACGGTTAACCAAAACATTGTCAGGGGTGCCACATTTTATAAAACAAAGGGCACATAATTTGATCTCAAGCTCTGCATAGCCTTTTGAAGGGGCTAATAAACCAGAATGGGAGGGGAATGAGAATTCTGTAAAAACGTGCCAAAAAGTTCTGTTGCCATGGCTGCAAGGAAAAGAACCTTTTGGCAGTTAAATACTGCTGGCTGCAGACTGAAATTAAGAGGTAACTTCTAATGACATGGCTTATGTAGCAAATGTACATTTAATCAAGTTTCCTTTAAAATAGCAAAGAAAAAAACCAAAACAAAAAAACACATGCATGCTTGTTGTAAAGGTTGTATGAGAAATATTGACACACTCATTTCTACTACATCTAAAATGTACAAACCAAGCTGATATATTGTTCCCATTACAGAAATGAGCCAAGGCTATCTGCTACCAAAAGCAGCAACACTGTCTAACTGGATTAAATTGCAGATATGGGGTAACCAGTAAATTCATGGTTTAGCCGGCATTGCCCTGCATTGTCAGTATATCTATTGCACATTTGATTAGAAGGAAAATGCCCAAACCTTCAGGCAGGTTATTTTCGAACAGATGAAAGGCCTCAGTTGACACCTGTCTGGCTTTCAAGTGTAAAAGCTACATTTTCCTGTGGCTCTCAGTCATAAATGACAATAAAAATGACTAAATGTTTAAAAGAGAAGAGCTCTGATACAAGCACTATGTAGAGGGATTTCAAGGAGGGATTGGACTTGGTTATGTGCCACATTAACAGACCTTTTAACATTCAGTATTTTACAAAATAATCACTCAATAATAAAAAAGAAAAATTACATTGTACTTATTTTAGTACACGAATTTGACCAGAACCCCAGTTTACCAACTACATACAATAACATGTCAAAGTCAAATCATAAGGCCCTGTGTCCTCATGGGAATTTCTAATCTTAGCCTGTAAAAGCAAATGTCTATTTTTGTTGGACATATATATTAATGACCACATTTACCTCACAGCATAACTGCACTTATACTAGGAGTTATACATTTGTGTATTTAACTGAAAATAATTCATGTTTCTAACAGCATGGCTTGGTCAATATTTAGGTCCTACTCTGCTGTGAACAAAATGCTGGCCACCACTTGAGGGTAATATTTGCCGGTGACCGATCAGAGGTACATTGGAGTGAATGAGACCCCTTTCTCCCCACAGCAACTTTTTGGCAGCATAGCAATTTATACACCTGCAATCAGAAGACTGCAATCCCCAATGCTGAAAATAGGACTTATCTTTGGGAAAAATAACTTTGTACACTGTCATGTTTTCAGAGACTGCAGGGACAGCAGAAATACATAGGTCACAGTGAAAGTAAATTAAAGCAATTGTTGATGTAAACTTTACAAGTATACTTGGTTGGGCTTACATAATTTTGTTATTGTATTAAATATAATAAATATACAACGTTACCACTAGAGGGAGCTCTTGATTTCACATCAACAATTAACTAGGCTCCCTGCTTCTGTTTTCTGCCATAGGCAGCCAAAGCCTCCATGAAAATGCCAGTAGAGACAGTTACGTCTTTTGTATGGAACCCAACCTCACAGGAAATGTATAGAACACCTCCCTGTTCCTCTGACTTCCCTACTGGCTACAACGTGCAAAAAGCCTCTATACTGAGTGTTCCTGTCCATTCATAACTTGTGGAGATAGTACGGTTTACCATGTCCACAATCAAGACGGTTTACCATGTCCACAATCATGAATGGACAGGAGTTGATGTAGATCACTTCCCATTCATTCATAATTGGGGACACAGTAAACATACTCTGTCCTCAATTATTTACAAGCAGTCAGCGATCACTGATTGCCGAGTGCTTGAACCCGCTCCCCATCCTGACTCGCTATCACAGGAGGCTGAGTGAGCAGTGCGGGGAGCAGAGCTCGGTCTCCTGTGACAGCGGACTCCTCCCCCCGTACTGCAGGCCTGTCTCCTGTGACAGCTGACAGGGAAGACACAAAGCAGCGCCCAGCAGGGAGGAGAGAAACCAGGCATGCACCGCAATTTCGTCCGAAAGATGGCACTTTTGGCCGATATGTTTCGGCAGTGGAAATTTCGGTGCATCTCTATTATTTTGTTTGCAGAAGTATTGTACATCAAACAATTGCCTTTTTGTTTTGTTTTTATTTTTTTTATACAGTGCTGGTTTTCACCTTGTTTATCCTTTGTTGTGTCTCTTCATATTTTATGTACATGCACTTCAAAAAAGGCAACATTGCATTTTTTCAGGGATGGCAGGAAACCAAGCAAAATTTGTGTTTAAATGGTCACACATAGGGGATGATTTACTAACCTAAACACACACACACACACAACAGGTGTGTGTGATTTTCACACAGCA